CGGCACACACACCAGGACCAACAAAGGAAGAGGCCAGTCCAGGGCTCACATCCCTGCCCCCAGCTTGGGAATTGGGCAGACCCAAGCTGAGGGCTTGGCTCTCTTCTTCATGGCTGAGTGACCTCTTCATTGCACTTGACCTTTTGCAGCCTCTACTTTCTCTATAGGAAGGAAAGACAGTCGTGGAAACGACTGCCTTATACAACACAGGAAAAATTGATGAAGACAAAGGTATTAAGTCAGAAAGATCTCAGTTTACAAAGGACAAAGTTGCATTATGGGGGGGATATTCTTAGTGAGATCGTGCAGTACGTTTCAAATGTTATCCTTCAGAATTTGGTGCCCGTCCCACTGTGCATGTCTTAGGACTAAAGATCCGCGGTGCCAGGGCTCCAGGAGCAGTGCCTACACCTGTGACTGCTGGCCCGGCAGCACGCACCTGGGCCGCAGAGGGCGTGCGGCCCGCCCAGCCCCGGGTGGGCCACAAGCTGAGGGGCGGGTTGAACGGCGTGGGGGTGGGGGTGAGATCTCTCCAGATGAGTTTAAAAAATGAAAGACTCACAGATAATTTTAGTTTTTTTGTAAATCTGTGAAGATAACCAAGAGCCCCATACTGGGGAGAGAAGCCACTAAAAGACAACCTCGAATGGCTTACTAGGGTGACAGCCCCATTTCTGTTGCACAAGACTTTGCACCTAGAGGGGAAGAGACACCTTAGAAGATTCCCTGTTTCTGGTTTAGTTTGGAGAGTAGAAAGCAGCTTTTCTTTTACCCTGTAGTCAGCCTAGAGACAGGGCGGGGGGCGGGGGCGGTAATGGGCAGGCATATTACCGAGCAGCAGGATCCCCAGGCACCACCCCACTGCTCCGCTAGAAGTCGGCTCCATGGCCCCAGGCAGACGAGAAAAGCCGGGTGTGAGCTGGGTTAGAGCCCCTGGGAAGACCACAGGTGGGGCGTGGGGCCCACAAGTATGAGAAGTCCTGACGTCATGGGTGACATTATTGTAGCAGAAGGGTGGAAGCAATTCATTATATTATGAGTGTATTTCTAATGCAGTTTTTGGAGAAATAAGTATGAATGGGGCTGCTGTGCCAGACAGAAGAAATTAAGGAAATCCAGAGGGGGAAAACTGATTGTGCGCAGAGCACGACAGCTCTGCATCCTGAGGCCGGGGAGTTCTGGCCCCAAAGCAGGGAGAATCTGCTTGTGGCTGGAAACCACCACAATCCCACTCACGACCTGCTCAGAAGTGAGACTCATGGAAACCAAGGCTGGTGGATTACCAGGCCCAGAGCATGGCCTGGCCCGCAAGCCCCTCATCATTCTAGTCATCTTTTCATGGCTTTTCCTACCCAGTGCGACGTAGCCACACCTCATTTACTGCCAAACTTCAAAAGACACCAATGTAATCAGTCATAAGCTAGCACTTGAACTCTGGAATAATCATGACACAGCAGAGGAAGGAAGGAGCAGGCTGCCTCACACTGTTAAAGGTTATGGCACAAGAGCGAGCGAGCAATCCCACTGCAATACCCATTGGCCCCGTAACAATCAATGGGTTTAATCCAATTCTAATAAAAGTCCCAGCAGTGTTTTTGTAGATAAAATTTATGAAAAGGCAAGAGAACTAGAGTAAACAATTCTGAAAAAGAATAAAGTTGGAGGAATCTCTCTACCTTCTTTTAAGGAAGATTTAATACAGAGCCACCGCAGTCAAGACAGCTGCGGTGCTGGCAGAGGGGAGGGCACACAGACCAAAGAAATGGAACAGAGAGGACACTGGACCCATGTGAAGATGATCAGCTGATGGCTGGAAACATGCAAAAGCAATTCGATGGAGAAAGGATAGTCTTTTCAAACAAATGTTGAAAAAATTGGCATGCATGCAAAAAAACTACAAAATCTCAACCATCTTAAACCTCACATTTTATGTACAAATTAACCCAAAGTATATCACAGATTTAAATGTAAAACATAAAACTTTCAAAAGAAAACATAGAAGAGAATCTTCATGACCTGGGATTAGGCAGAGTTCTCAGACCTGATACAAAAGCATGCTCTAGGAAAGAAAGAAAGAAAAAAAAACCAGGATAAATTAGACTTAATCAAAATTTAAAACTTTGGCTCTGTGGAAGGCACTGTGAAGGAGATAGTTTCCAACAAAGGGTTTGAATCTAGAATATTAAAGACCTAACACTACACAGTAAGAGCCCAGACCAACGTGACTCAGTTGGTTGTTGTCCTGCAAAGTGAAAGCTCGCCGGTTTGATTCCCAGTCCGGGCACACGCCTGGGGTGCAGGTTTGGTGCCCAGCTGGGGCATGCACGAGAGGCAACCGATCAACCTTTCTCAAGTCGATGTTTCCCTCTCTCTCTTCCCGTCTCTAAAAATAAATAAGTAAAATCTTAAAAACAAAAACCAAACTCCACAGTAAGGGAACAACTCAATTTAAAGTGGGCCAAAGATTTAACAGACACTTCACCAAAGAGTGTGTAAGGAGGGCAAATAAATATATGAAATCATCAGGCATTTAAAATTCAAATGAAAACCACGTGAGATACCACTATTACACCCATGAGAATGGCTAAAATGAAAAAATGCAGTATCAGGTACCGGTGAGGATAACAGAGCAGCTGAAACTCATTCATTACTGATGAGCATACAAATGGTACAGCCACTCCGGAAATCAGTAGCAGTTTCTTAAACAGTCATATCCAGAAATTTCACTCTTGGGTCCATTCCCCTTGGAGATGAAACTTACGTTCATAGAAAAACCTGCATGTAAGTTTATAATCGCCAAAAAGTGGAAATAACCCAGCAATAAAGTACTCTCCAAATCTTAACAGAATACATGAGCATTCTGTGTGTGTGTGTGTGTGTGTATGAGAGAGAGAGAGACGGGGCGGGTGGGGGGCAGTATCCCAGGACATTTTGGGGCAAAACCCATCCAGCCAAATCTCTGGGCTTGGCCAAATGTACTGGAAAATCTGGAAAGACCAAAGGCCTTTGAATGCATTCCTCAGGTCCCTGGGGTTCCAGAAAAAGGGAGGGGGTGGTCCTTCCTCACTTCAACTGCAATTCCATAGTATCTGTTTCCCATACTGGAGTTGTGTGTAAAGTTTCTTTTGGAAACATACCAGAAAAGCTGGAAGACCATCGGTAAGTCTGAAAGGTAGCCGGGAAGCAGATCCACACCGTTGCTGTTGGGCAGGGCCTCTGCAGAGCACGGGCGGTCATGTGCTGGTTACCGACCTGCTGGACCCTCCAACAGCCACCACAGGGGACACGCTCTGCTCGAGGGGCAGTGTCTTCTCTATCTGGTTCTACACTGAGTGACGTTAGCCCGACTCCCTCACTTGGTGTCTGGCCTTTCTGGAACCTGTCGCATGCTTCGCTCCCTCTTTAGCAGGCGTTTCAAGCCTTCATGACCAGCTGGTTCTTTGTACCTCTGAGCTCGTCTCTTCATGCCGACAGTGTCTGCCCCTTCCGGCCTGAGGAGCCCTGTCTCTGGTCCTAGCAGTCCTGTCTTCCCTCTGTCGGTGTCCTTCACAGAGCAGGAACCGGAGAGAGGTCCGCCGCCCATGGATAAGTGTGGCTAAGTCCAGTAGACATTTCTGAGTTCTTACCTGACCTCCCAGCAACATTTGATGCTACTGATTACTCCTTCCTAACACAAATTCTCTCCATTTCCAGGCCACCCCATTCCGCTGGTTTTCTATTCTGACTTCTTCGCAGGTTCATCATCTACGGGTCCACCTCAGTTTTCCTTAAAGCTCGGCCCCACACCGCCCTCCTATTCCTACCCAGCTTGACTTCATTCACCGCCCCAGCTGCAGTTGCCACCAAGAAGCCGATGTGTCCCACATGTTCATCCCCAGCCCGACCTCTGCTCCAAGCCCCAGGTGTCCATACAACTGCCTACTCGACGCCCCACTTGAATGTCTCAGCCACCTTGACACCGCAGTCCAACAAGTTCACAGCTCACCTTGATTTTTTTCCCCCCAAACCAAACATGGTCCATTTTCCTTGTTCCCATCCTCCACAAACGCTGCTCCTAGGCATCAATTTCCAGTTAAAAGCCCAGGACTCATCCCTGACTCTCCCTTCTTCAGTCCCTATATCCAGTCCTTTACCAAGTTCTGTTGATTCTACTTCCAGATACCGCAAACACTTTCGTGCCTCTCCAGCCTCTCGCCACGTGAGCTTGAGCCCCTTCCAAACCATTCTCTTGCGTGCTAGCCAAAGGGATCTCTTAAAATGCAAATTTGATCATGTCATCTGTTTCCTTGAAACCTTCATTGCTTCCCACCACGGGGTAAAAACCAAATCGCTGACTGGGGCTATGATCTCGTGTCTCGCTCCTGCCTGTTTCTCCTCTGTTCCCCAACATCGACTTGCTCTCTGCCACACCGATCCTGGTTTCTCACGGGATCCGTGCTCTCTCCCGCCATCGGGCCTCTGCACCTGCTCTTCCCACAGCCATTTTGCCTGTTGACACTTGTTCGTCTTTCAGATCCCTCCCAGACTGTGCAGGATGGCACCCCTTTTATGTTTTCATAAAACAGGTATTTTTTCTCCACAGGAAACTAGACTGTCAGTTATCACCACTGGGATCATTTAGTGTCTTGTTCTCTCCCCACAGTGTCAGCCCCGTGAGGGCAGGAGTGGGGTCTCTCCCGTGTGGTCCGTCACCCAACACTGCAGCTGTTCCGTGTTGACTGAGCGCACGTGGGTCCTTGTGGACTGAGGGGGCCTCCCCGGGAGAGTGCAAGGGGCACATCGCAGAGCTGCTCCTCCCAGTTCAAAGGGCTCCAAGGCAATGCTGTCCTAAAACTGGGTTAGAATTTTCTCCTCTGTGACCCACTGGAGTGAAGAAATTATTTTCACCAAAAGTGTACCATTCACAGTTGCATTAAAAAAAACACGATTCACAGTTGCATTAAAACTATAATGTACCTCAGAAGAAATCCAATCAAAACCAACGAAGGATATGCAAAAGCTTTATGAAGAAAATTACATGACTTTATTGAAGGACATAAAAGACAGAAATAAGTGGAGAGACAACACGTTCACGACAGGAAGAAAACCCTGTGAACAAGCCAGCTCTTCCCCAGTCACTCTATAAATCACATCACCCCAGGTAAAGCCCAGCTTGGGGGTTTCCCACAGAATCTAGCTAAGAACATTCTGAGGAAGGAAAATGGGCGTGCCTGGGGCTGAGGAAGATGCTCAGCACGCCCGGCTTCTGATTCCAGCCCAGCCGTACACGGGGACTTGGAGTGTGACGAATCTCTCTTCAAAGCAGCGGGTAAAAGATGACCTGGCCAGTACGTGGTGTTGGAACTCTCAAAAGTGGGGAAAGAAACCCGGAACCTGTACCATGATCAAAAATAAATTTAGGTGGACTAAAGATTCTAGGTGAAAAATCCTCAGAAAAAAATATAGGCTTATCTTTATGGTCTTAGAATAGAAATTTATTTTTCAAAGAGTAAAATACACAAAGCATGTGGGAAAGATTGACAAGCAAGACATTAAAAAACTTTCATACTAGAAAATACACTATAAGAAAGGTTAAGAGAGAGATAGGGAGAAGATATATGCAAACCTATAAAAGTGACAAATGTTAGTATGAGGAAATACTTAAAGACTCCTTACAAGTCAGTAAGAAAAGACAATTAGAAAAAATGAGCTAAAATATATATATAAAAGCTATTCACAAAATCTATAAAAGCAAATTACCAAAATTCTGTATTTTTATGTTCAAGATCACTAATAATGAAGGAAGGTAAAGCGGAATAGTGAGATACCATTTCACACCCGTCTAAAGTGCTAAAATGTGAAAGTCTGCAGATAGGTAATTTTCAGAGAAAGAATGGACACATGGACACCGTGCAGCGCTAGTCGTTTATCCCCGTGGCAGGAGGCAGCGCGCCGCGCCGGGGAGCCCGCGGTCCCGGCTCCTCAGTCCAGGTTCTCCAGGAGGCAGCAGCAGCAGAGCGCAGCCCAGCACGCAGCCAAGGCCGCCTGGCACGCGGTGTCCTCCGTCTTCCTTTCCTGTTCCGTCACATACACTGGGGCAGGGGAGGGGCGGGGCGGTCGGGGGAGAGAGAGACCGGGTCAGCGGGGAATATGAGCGGCAGCATCGCGTGCTCACGGCAGCTAGCACACGGTCTTGGAGACGCGTTGGCCGTCTCCCCTCGCCAGGCGGCTGCTCCACGCCTACCTGGTTCACTGGTCCATTTGCACACCGAGTCTGCACACGTTTTCTTGAGTGTGTGAATGAAGGGGACATCTGCTCAGCAGCTGTCAGACCATTGTCTCCCTTTCCCCGAGGTGACTGGAACCCAAACCAGCACCTTTCTTGATGCTCGACCAGTGATCCAGGTTGCAGGGAGCCCGGCCTGCAGCGCTCCGTGGCAGGCACTGGCTGAAAGCTTTATACAGCACCTCATTTAATCCTCACAACAGCGCTGCGTTACTATCGCCACTTGTAACCCTCAACACCGTCTGCACGAGTGTGCACTGTTAGAGCCCCTTTGAAAGAGCCTTGCAGTGGGGGGTACATACAGGTCTGGCCCAGAAAATCTGTATCTAGGGTTTTTCTGCAAAAATAATCCGGCCGGTGTTCGAAGACAGATGGACACTGTGATTGCTGCTGTATCGAAATAACCCCAAAGTAGCAATAACCTCAAGTCTGCCAGCTGGAGGCTGATTGGCTACATCAGTGCACACTACGTCACAGGATACTAAACAGCCATTAAAAAGAACTAGGTGGTTCTTCCGTGTTGCCAGTAAGATAAGCAAGATAGAAAAGCAACAGATACAGTAGCAGTGTGTTTTACTTGTACAGTGAAAAGGACATACACACACATATGCACACACAAGTTTCTGAAAATACAAGAAAGTTAGAGGAGGGGTAGAGGCTTTTGCTTTGCATTCTACATTTTTCTCAAATGCAGGCTTGTCTGATTGTAGAGCCACCCTCAAAGCCACTCCTCTACTGTCGCTGCCAGGGTCCTGTTGGCAGGAGGGAGGGCCTGCCCGCTCCTAGCACACGTTGGACCTCTTCGGGCTCCTACCAGCAGGGCTTCGGGGGCAGCTGGTGCCGCCCCACTTTGGCTCCCTGGTGACACTGGCCTCATTCCGACTGCCTTCTCCATGTCACTGTTACCTAGACAACGCCCTCAGCCGGACTCCACCCAACCTGTGCTCCCAGTTATTCTTGCTCCTCTCATAGCCTGATCTGGCCCCTGTGACCCGGAGTCCCGCCTATCAGATGTGCCTTCAATGCAGTCCTGACACCTCCCCTCAGGCCTTCCTGACTTTCAACCCTGGGCAAGCGCTGGGGAGCAGCAGATGTATCACATGGCACTCCTCCCTCCGCTCAGAGACCGGCGCCCCCTGCACTGGTACAGTTCCTAAGGCTGAGCCCAGGAGGCAGAAACAGCCCCCCATGCCAGGTCCCAAACAGCCCCCTGCCAGGGTTTCTTTCGCATGTCCCCCTCCCGGCAACACCAGCTGGCGGCATTTGAGAATCTACCAAACTACCCCAGCCGCTTCCTGCCCTTTGGGTTTGGGTTTGGGTTTGAGCAGGTAGGCAGGAGCCCACCTGAGCCCGGCGCTGGAGAAAGAGGGCACCAGGGGAGCAGGCACAGCCAGTCTCTGCCTCTGCAAGCCCCTGAGAACTCGATGGTCTTCCAGGGACCACCTTCAGCTCCCTCACCAGCAGGTTCCCATCTGCTCACCGGGACAGCGCACATCACCCGCTTCTCCTCTCTCCCCCTCAGCAGGGCCTCTCTATGCATAGAGCCCCACGCTGCCGCTGCCCCCTCTGCCAGCCTGCCAGCCTCTCACCTCAGTGGTGCCCGTGTCAGGAACTTCACTGACTACTCATCTGGCCCTGAGAGTAGTGCCCGCCCCACCCCTTGGCCTTCTCTTAGCACCAGGGACACCACCGGGGCTCACTGTCGGCTTTGCCCTGGAAGTATCCCCTCCCCATTTCTGCTCTGCCTTTGGGGCCCTCCGACACCACCCTGGATCGCTGGGACATGGGATCAAAGCTTCCTCAGCCCAAGCAGCTGCCTGCTGCTCCTAGACTGAGATAGGCAGAGAGAAGGAGGGCTCACCCGGACTCTGGGGAGTAGCCTCAAAAATGAACAGGAGGTGGGGAGGCACAGTCTAGGCTGCTCTGGGAGCACAGGGCCCGCAAGCCCTCACTGTACGGAGGAGGCAAGAGAGGGCCAGCCTAAGGGAGCGAGTGAACAGAGCCAGGCCCCCAGCACCAGGAGAGCATAGGAACGCTGGAGGGGGGCTGCCAGGAGCTCCAGGTCCTGCGCTCACCCCAATTCATGCACACACATACACAGTCCTTGTCACCTGGCGCTGGGCCTCAACCCACCACGTGGCATCAGAACCCATGTTTGGGGTTGGGGAGACATGGTCACATCTTTGAGAAGTATGACTGGGAAGTTCAGACAGGGCTCAGGACAGAGCGGCTTCCCAGGGCAGGAGACAGGGAGCTAAGATACTGATATTGGGACAGGAGAGGGACCTGGCTAGCATGGGAACAAATGGGACAGCAACACAGGGGCTGTGACCCAAGCCCACAGACAGACCTGCATCCTGGCCACCAGGCCCAGGCCAGTGACAACCTGTCCCACCCACTGAAGGCCTGGGTCCCTGGGCCCTGTGGCCACTCACCACGGCAGGAAACCTGCCTCGCCATCTGCCACTTTGTAGCTTTCCCGTACAGACACTGCCACCTGTGAGCTGGGCCACCAGCCCGCCTCCCAGAATCTGGGTGTGCACCCCCGAACGACATCTGCCGTCTCCCCCTACCAGAGGAATGGCTTGCGGGCCCCAGGGCAGAAGAGTGGCCCCTTGCCTCCCTGCCAGCTCCAGGAATAGCTGCCTCATTCATCAGTTGGCCCCTCCCAGGGTTAGGGCAGAAACCTCGCTTGAGGTTGGGTTACCCTGTGAAAGGCTTTTCCACACGGCGCCCGGATCTTTCTGATCCTCTGAGAAGCACCTGATCTGCCGTCTGGCAGACTCCTCCCTTCGTCCTCCAGCGTCAACAACAAACCCAAATGAGGCAGCCATCGGGGACGGGAACTGCGGCCACAGGGCCGAGCACGCCCCGCTGCCTTCTCCACGCACCCCCAGCTCAGGCACACCCGCACTGCTTCCTCCCTCCCTTCCTGGTCTGGGTTTTCCATTTCGGCTTGCCCCAGCATGGGCCCTCCCCTTCGCCCCTCTGAGCCCCAGTGTCAACTTGCAAAAAGTGGGGTTGATGGTCGTGCCTGCAGTGAGGCTCCAACGAAATGAGAACGAGTTGGCAACGGATATTGTTCGATCCTATCCTCTCCCCTCCCGGCCCCTACAGCCGTGTGCCCGAGCAGTGGGAGCAGACAACAGTCAGCCTGAGGAGAGAGGAAGAAACAACTAGTAGAGGACATCTTCTTCCTCCTCTTCCTCCGCATCACCAGGCTGGGTAGTACCCGCCACCTACAGGCTCCTGCATCCCCTCCGAGAGGCCTTCCTGAGTCCAGCCCAGCTCGGCGTTTCTGACTCTGAAGCGCTGCTACCGCACTACCGCCACAATCTTTTGCAAACGGCCTTAGAAATGTCAACAGTCCTTAAGAAGGATGCAGCACTGAGACCGAAATGGGCAGAAGGGACGTCTCCAGATGAAGAGGGGGGGCGCTGCAGAACAGTACGTGTTATAGAGCCCGCAACAGAGCTTGGGGGTAAGAACGGGACACTTCCCCTTTGCATGCCAGCACGGTTTGCATTCTTGTGCCACTGGAACAGAACAGGAAAATAGGTCTGTCTCAGAAATGGCTGGTTTATCATCAGGGTTTTCTTTTCTTTTTAAGATTTTAATTATTTACTTTTAGATAGAGGGGAGAGAAGGGAGAAAGGGAGAGAAACATCAGTATGCAAGAGATACATCAATCGGTTGCCTCTCATACACCCCCAATGATATGTCCTGACTGGGAATCGAACCCGCAACCTTTAGGTTTGCAGGCTGGTGCTCAATCCACTGAGCCACACCAGCCAGAGCTATCATCAGGGTTTCTAATTGTCCTAACTAGATTAGGAGTTCCCCTAGTGCTGGGTATATGTCTTCTCCATGAGCTGCCCCTCAAGGTCCAAGGCACAGGGAGGACAGTGCGAGGGGGACAGGAACTAGGAACACACATACGGTGGCAGTCAACACGCAGCACCAAAAGCCTCCAGCCAGGGAGAGGTAGCTACAGCGGACAGTGACAGGGTCTCTGGCCCACTCACAAGGGTTGTGGGGCCCACAGTCTGGGTCCTCAGCATATCAGAAGCTCAGATTCTACTGGGGCACTGGTGACTGTTCTTAGTGGCCTTGGCTACGCAGAAGAGACTGGAGTTGGCTCCTCTGGGGGTTTGGAGAATTTCTAATAAGAAATTAACACAAAGAATAACCACGTAACCCTCAAGAATTTCACAACCAGCCATCTCCACTTCCTGACTGGCCAGGCAAATACAGAGGGGCACCGGCCCAAGGAGGTCTTTTCTGGAGGTAGAGAGACCCCTGGCGGGACAGCTGAATCCATCAAAAGCCCAGTGTTCCCCAGGTGTGTGCACCTCACCAGCTCCTGAGGGCCCAAGGCTGGCTCTGAGCTGATGCAGGGAAAACCAGACCTTGTGATGGCTCCAAACACCAAGGTACTTCAGATAAAGATCTTACTTTCTGTAGGAAAAAAAAAGTCACATATAATTCTAATCATGCCAAATGTCGTGTAAGAACCAGATGGATGGAAACAGATTATAAGGAACAGCAGACGTGGAGGATATTTCCGTGCCGGCACAAAGCTGCTGTGAGCTCAAGACAAGTGGCCTCGGTTGTCAGTGGGCTCAGGGTTTCAGGTCCCAAGATGGAGCCTGGTCTGGGGACAAGGCCAAAAGGTCAACCCAATTGGGTCAGGAGGACAAAGTCAGCAAGGGCCTGCACCCCCCAGAGTAAGCCAGTTATAGCAAGCTGCACTGCCTGATGCCGTGCCCACCTCCGAGTGACAAGGGTCTCCCCACAATCACAACC